ATGAATTAATGGAACTGAAACTAAGACAGTAATTTCGTAAAGTGAAATTAATAATTAAAATGGAATACAGACGGATGAAATTTGGCAGAAATTGAAATTAGAGTTAAGAGTTGTAGCAGTATTAATTATTCAGAATTTATAAATTAAATGATGCTTATAAATTAGTCCACTGATAATTAAATGTAGAGAGTTTTATTTTCTTTATTAATTAGAATAATCTTGAAAGCGAAACGGAAAATTGATTCGAACAATTCAAATTTGGTTTAAACGGTAATTCATCATTTGAAATGATCATTAAATCAATATATATTAAATCAAATTCGGTTTATTAAAGTGGGTTATGAATTCACGAATGAAATAATTTAGTTCGTTATAGTCTGAGAATTTTCCAACAGTAAAAAAAAAAATAGAAATAAATAAAACAATAAGTTATTGAAATGATGTGTAAATAAGATTGAAGAGAGAATTAAATAGAATAAATAGCATATTTAGTGAGAATTTTAACAAGATTCTGCTATTCGACAGTTGTGTGTTGTTTGTTGATAAATTATTGATTGGTAGCATTGGTTCTCATTAATTGATAACCTCTGATAATTAAATGATAGTTAAATTCATTTTGACAAACTTAATTTTATCAGTAATCAGTAATGATAGAAGTTATATGACTGTTTCATTCATTATTTTTTCATTATTCATTAAGATAAAATATCATTTTTGAATGCTATATCCATCCATTCTGTATTTCATTACAAACAATTTTACAAGAAAAATTTCTTCAAAAGTTTATCGATTAGGAATAATTACTATTCGATAAGAAATTCGTTATCGCTTTAACATTTAGCTTTCTGCTTGTTAGAACTTTTCTCTTTATATTCTTATCAAATTGCAAATATTAGAAAGATGAGAAAGAATGACAGTAATTTAAATGATCATGATGTTCAAGCATTTTGATTTAAAATATTCAACAAATCCAATCAATCATTCATATTTGATCATTTCTTTTTTCATTCAAATTAAATTTAACTTTTTCAATAAAACAAAGGAATTGATGAAAGAAACTAATAGAAATATAAAATATTCATAGAAGTAAAATATAAATTAGAAATATTAATAGAAAGAAAATATAAAATTAAAAATATGTACCTAATATAATAATAAAATATCAAATAAGAATATAAAATAGGAAATCGATAGAGTCAATGAAAATTTTGTGGTGACAGTCTAATCAAATCCATATGAACATCACTTTATCAGTAGGGAATTATTTGTGGTTGCAACAAGTCACTGATAATTGTTACAATGGAAATTAGAGATTAACAGAAGAAAGAAAACAAAGAAAAGCGATGTAAAAAACAATAATTATTCAGTGAGTTGACGCTGTATCACATGATCGTGATTATAATGATAGTGATAATGATGGTGATAATGTTGATGGCAATAATAATAATGGCACTATTAATTAAAAAAGAGCGTAAAATGATGACATGAAATTATTATTTATTATTATTATTACTATTATTATTATTATTATTATTATTATTATTATTATTATTATTATTATTATTATTATTATTATTATTATTATCACTATTATTATTATTATTATTATTATTATTATTATTATTATTATTATTATTATTATCACTAGCAATAGCGAATATTTCAAAGTCGTTACTCATTTTTAACGGAAAAGATAGATAAATAAATAAAATGATAAAAGATAAGTAACGAGAGAGCTATGAATAGGAATAGAAAAAAGGGAAAGGAAGTAGCGATAAAGGAGAGAGAAAGAGATAAAAGAGGAAGCAGAGAGTAAGAAGTAAGGAAATATAGTATTTGCAATGACTGCTCCATTCGATTAACATCTATCTATACATAATTCCAAATGTCAATATTTCTCCATATCATTATCATTGTTATCATTAACATTATCATTACTACTATCACTAACATAATCATGATAATTATTATCATTAATGTAACATTTCGATAACATTTAAATGACATTATTTAGTATGATAATTGCTTTCCATTTAATGCAAAAATGAAATATATTACGAGTTTATGTGAAATAAGTGGAAAAGTATGACATTCTCGAGATGACAATAGAAATGAATTATATATGACATAAATGACATTCTCGAGATGATAATAGAAATGAATTATACTGCAATGTAACCGTAAACACTTCTCCAAGTAGACCGAAGGAATTCTCTCACGATGGTTGATGATGGCAATAGTGCCACCAAATTGACACACACACACATACACACATACACACACACACACACACACACACACATACACGAAGACTCACATATGTATGTATGACATACACACACACACACAGACAGACATATTGAAACAGGCAATACTAGTTGCTTACTTTCCGGTGACAAGAATTCGATAATTTTCTTCTTTAAAAACATCGTTAATGATAATATATTTGTAGTGATTCATATGTCATCGATATTTGATACTAAGAAATTGGAATAAGATTGGATTGAATTGGGATTAATATTGAATGGTGTGGTGTGTGGGAAGAAGGAAAAGTTGTATTTTCTATTTTTTCACTTATGATATGATTTAAAAAATATCATGATAACTTTATGTATCATTATCATCATCATCATCATCATTATCATCATTATCATCATCATCATCATTATCATCGTCATCATCATCATCATCATCATCATCATCATCATCATCATCATCATTGTTATCTTGGTCATAGTCGTCATCGGAGAGGTAGTAAACATTCAGAATATTGTAATATTAGCGAATGTTATTATTCATACAAGTCATATTACATTCTCGAAATGCTCAAATAATGAATTGCAATAATTTTCCAAAAAGGAGAAAAAAGCAATGAGAATTTATTAAATTATTAATTCATTGATTTATTTCAAGTTTTTTGAACTACTGTAAGTTGAAAAAAAGCATTATGTGAAATATAAGTTTATTTTATTAAATTTCGATAGATAGATAGATAGATATAGATAGATATACTTGAATAGTGATACTAATAATGCAATATTAGCATTAATATTGATCAAATTTTGCAATTTTTATGCTTCTGTAGTTATTAGGAAGAGAAGAGAAATGTATATAAATAGAAGGAAAAGGAATGCTTAAATAAGTGTTGAATGTCAATATGTCAAACTTTTAATAATGATTAGAGTAATTTAAAAATTATTCGTGCAAGAGAAAAACTTGACTGATTTCAAAGTTATGATTAAAAATAATTAAATATTGAAATTTAAAAAACTTCAATATTGTGTTGTGAATTTTTTAGCTAATAAAAAGAAGGGAAAATGAATGTTAGCAGCCTAAAATTTTATGATGAATTTAGATCAAAAAATATGAAAAATGAATTGATGGCTTTTTTTTCATTTGTAGAAGATAGCAGTTGATAATATCAGTAATGATTTCTACTGGAATAATTTTGTAAATGTATTCAATTCAAAAATATCACATATAAATAGTAATTATTAATTGCTTAACGATTACAGTCGGTTATAATAATAATAATAATAATAATTATGTTTGAACAATGGTTATTAAAAAAAAGAAATAAAATTGTATGCGATGATTACATTCATTAAATAATTACAAATTTAAAAAAAAGAATATTTTTTACATTATAAATGAGATTTTAATCATTAAGATGAAATATTATTTGTTCCTTTTATTTTAATAAAAATTAATTATACTAAATATGGAAAAATCATCGAGTAGACTAATTCATGAATAGAAAGTGTTATCCATCAAGAAGATTTATCCTATAAAAATGAAAAAGCCAATATTTTGGGATTACTTACCTATCATAATACTTTCTTGAAATCTATAAAGATAAAGAAGCAATGAACAACTGTCATCGAAGACTAATAAAATTAAAATCAAATTAAAACGAATGAATATATTTCGGAAGATTGATTTGGACAGTTGTCCATTTGATAAAATTTTTTCTTTCCTTTTTTTTAGACAGAATTTATTTCATCGGAAAATTCTTATCTCAATAAATGGCATCAATTTTTTGCAAAGAAAAAAGACAAAAAATCGAAGACTAATAAAAAATGAAAAATGCTTCGACGCTAATAAAATTATTAATAAAATTAGTAACTCAAATTCATCTCAAGATTTCATTTTATATAAAATTTTAAACATATTAACTTATCTGCTTGCAATTTCAGTCTTAATTATTCAACAATTACTCAATAAATATATGTCTTACAACATAGCAATAAGAAATTAGTACATTTATATTGCAGTTGGAAAAACTTGACAGTATGCTAACGTTCGATACCTTAAGATATTTGTAATAATAATTCGTTAAATTTAAATGAATGAATGAAATTTATTTCTTCATATTACACTTGATATATTCTCAGAAATTTTTTCATATTTATTAATTTAGAAGCGTAACAGATCAATAAATTCATAAAAAAAAACAATATTTGATTTCATTGTCAATACGTTTGACAGAAAACAAAATCGATCAATTGAGATAAGGATAATTGAATTTATCTATACAACCTAACGGTTCCACTTTTTTTAATATCTTGTTTAAAAAAAAAAAAACTAAATAAATAACCTTAAAAAATTTTTCCAAATCATATATATATATATGTTAATAATCGTATTTTATGCACTAAATGAGGAATGAATTCGAAAAACAAAAGAGAGATAAAAGACAAACGAGACAAAAGAGAAATGTTTAGTAAAAAACATGAATAAATATTGAAGTAATCAATTTGAAATATTCGAATTCAAATATTGAAATATTTTTAAATCAAAACAAAAAATATTTAACAACAAATTCTTTTAAATAAGCAAATTTCTTGTAATAATAGCACTAGTGTGTTAAATTAGAATCATAAAAATCAAAATAGTATCATATTTGATAGAAAAAAATAACAATGTAAATGATGAAAGCAAATTCCTTCTCATCTTAAATCCTTCTATGATAATTGCCATATATGATTCTTTCGTCTTCTTCAATTCCATGTTTCATATTGTAGTCGACCTTTTGCTTCAAGCATTTGTATGAATTGTTTACCATTTACACCGTTTTCATCAGCAATCTTTTCTATGCATGCAGTTACTTCAACTGGCATATCACCAGCTTTCCCTGCTATAAAAAGATAACCTAAAAAATTGTTAAAATTAGTTCACATTAAATAATTATTAATATATAATTAATGCAAAAAATACTTTCTAAAATCTTTTTCTCCTATAATTTTTAGAAATTCTAATCGCTTTTTAAAACAAAAAAGTAACATGAAATGGATAATTTAATCATCATTTTCTTCAACAAAATATTTGCATTATATAAATCTAATTATTTATTCAAATATAGAGTTATTTATATAAATATAAATTTTTGTATAAACATATGAATATATTAATATAATTCACATAAATTTTTACATTAATATAATTATTTATATAAATATAATTAGAAACATTACATAAATATGATTTTCATATATTACAAGTTACCGTTATTATTTTTTAACAGATTCCATATTTCGTTACCGTACTCTTCAATCCTATTTTGTACGTAAATCTGAAAAATCATTTTTTCTCACAAATAATTTTTCCCAAGAAACAATTTTCCACAAAGTCAATGCTATTCGAATATTTTGTAGTGTTGATTCCATAGCACACGACATTATATTACGATACCTATGCTATTAATAATAATAATTAGAATTCTAAAAGTCACTAAAGTTATCAATAAAACTGATTGCATCGAATTAGAATTCTAAAAGTCACTAAAGTTATCAATAAAACTGACTGCATCGAATACTTCTTTATTCCTTAGTAAATAACCAAAATATAATAGCAGAAAATACTAAGAAATAATTTCTAATAAAACTTTAAATTGAGAAAACTACAACTATCTACAACAAGTACATTAACATATATCGCAAAAAAATGAACTTTAAACTGAATTACTCGACAAAACATCAAATTGAAAACCCCGAAGTATTATAGGACAAAACAAATATTAAATTTCACACCTTATTTTGCTGATCTCGACTAAATGCTGTTATGATCCGAGCTTCTGTCAATATTTGCCATTCTTCAGCGAAATAAAAATCTTTCTGAGCTCCTCGACATCCAAAAAATAATATTGAATTTTCTTTCTCATCACGCAATTGTCTGAAAACAATCTCAACAAATTCAAATGAAATTTCGGAAAAATAAAAGTAAAAAAAAATAATAAAAGACAGTCACAATTAATTCTCCTTTTATGGTACATGTAGAGCAGTTTAGCAAATATTAACAAATATTAACTCGACTTACTAACATAGTATTAAGAAATTAAATTAGACATGAATTTAACACTCTGATATTTAAATTCACATTGTTCAATAAGAATTTTATTATTAAAAAATAATGCATTGGGAAAGTATCTTTGAAGATTGCTCATCTATTTAAGATCCACCGGATGAAACAGCCGGATGAACCTGAATTTTGATTTTCCAGAGCAACTAAACGATCCATTAAAAAGAAATAAGCATGAAAAATAAAGATAAACTTTGTATATACTTTTTACGATAAGCTAAAATTGATCGGAACGGTGCTACTCCAGTACCTGGTCCAACCAATATTAAACTGTCATTTTTGGTAGGCCATCTGTAAAGGAATGAATAAAAATGATCAAATTTTCAAAATCATTTTAATGCAATTAAGAATTCTAGATAATACAATATTTGCTGGTTTTGAGAGACTTTCAAAATTCAAAATTCCTGTTTTATTTCTTATGAAAACTCATCTATTAGTTATGAACTGTTTAACCTGGCTGTTAAATTAGTCCTTTAATTGCCCGGAAACTAATCTAGGAATACCTAAAAGTTCCTGGACGAATTTTCACCAGGACAGTATCACCTTCTTGTAATCGACTTAAATAATTACTACATAAACCTAATCGTGTAGCCGTTATTCGTTTCGATATATATTCCACCTGAAAATTAATTTTTTATCAAATCTTTGTGATACTTTATTCTAATACCATTAGTTCTTTGATCAAACATAATTTAACTTAGCATACACAATTTCTGAGAGAAAAAAAAAAAACATATTCATAACATAAGCTTATATTTAAATTTTGTTTAGAGTTGAGGAATCAACTAAGTTTGTAGAATCAAACCAAAAGTGCATAATCAGCGATAAATCTAACTTTGGCAACAAGCAACTGGATAGCTGCATGTGTTAATGGACATGAAGCAATACTGAATGCTCGTGGACGAATTAGAGGAAAAACTTCGAAAAGCATTTCCACAGGTATATCTCGAGCTGTCGCATGAAAGTCTCGCAATGTTTCTGCAATTGTTCGCCTAGGTCGCCAACAATAATCCATGTAATCATCCTGCATAACAAAAAATACATTCACTGGATACATCCAACATAAAATGTTAAATAAAATTTATAATTTACAATATCTTTCGCTAATTCAAGAAGTCGTTCTTTCTCATCGTTTATTGTCGACAACTTTCCAAGTGTCCGAAAAAATGATCTGCGTGGAACCATTTGCAAATCAAAATAACATTCAAAACATTGCCGTAAAGATAGTTTGTCTAAAAATTGAGATATTTTTTCTTTTAAAATTAGAAAAACTATAACTGGTAAAATTATTAAAATTATCTAATTAAGAAAGAAAATAAGTATGGTAATTCAACTACCGTTAATAAATATTTGTTAGAAGTTATCAAAAAAAAAAGGAAAAAATTTTTACCTTTATAAAGATAAGAAGGAGGCAGTGAAATACATGTTTCACGTGAGCGTAATGTAATAGGACGATTCAGCAAATCATCATCAATATTGAGTGCTTCGTAAGCTATACTAAGTGTTTCACTCAAGTTGTTCGGATGTACCATTATCACATCACCAGGAGAATAACTGCAAGGGGAGAGCAATAATTGTGTTTTGTGTCTATATCTTAAATAATCTTATAATTGTTCAAGAAAAAGTTCTAAAACTTCTTAAATTATTGCAAATTGAAAAATATATTGATAATATAGTTCATACCGAAGTTCTTCGACATTCATGGCTATTGTGATCAGTCGTGTATCCAGAAAATACAAGAAAATTTAGTTCAATGAATTGAATAAATGACAGGATCAAGAAAAAATTTTTTTTAAATTAAGACTGATCGGAGGAAATAAGCACACTGTTAATAATTGCTTTGAATTTAATAACTGAGATAAATAAATGAGGGCTTTTACAGGTTTAAAATATATTCAATAATACTTGGCAAATTTAGATGCATGTTCAAAATAAGAATACCTGAAAATGAGTTTCCGCTGTTAATCGTTTATTATTTATGATTGTTGTTTCTACGAAAGAATTTTCTTTGCTATCACTGTAAAGTGGTGAAGAATTTTCATCGTAACTGACTTCATAACGTGATGGTAAACATTTGCTATCATCAGGATTCAAAATCATACCCTAAATGTATAAATTAATTCATATATTCCAAATTATAAAGTAATTTCTGTTTGTGATAAAAATCATTAAATTTATTAGTTTTTAAATTTCTGAAAAAATGAAATAATTCATAAACACAAAATGTCATGTTCATACCGGATACAACCTCATTTCCCAGATTTGTTGAAATAATTCATTCCGAAAAGGCTCGTACGTTCCTTCAATTCCTAATTCATGTTGATCATCTGCTAAAGCTAAGTTCATCAAAAATGAACAGCCTAATTGGCTTAATCTAAAAAATTTTAGTTTAGATAATATAGTATACTTGTAAAAATAATGTGTAATAAAGATATGCTTCAAATATTTCACATAAATAAACAGGAAAATAAATGAGCAAATATATGTAATATCATTATACATTTAATAAATATTTTTACCTTCGATATAGCTTCTTCCCTGCAAAGTTATATTTCTGATAAGTTGAGTCACCAAGTCCAAGGACAGCTAAGTGAACCTGAAATTCTCATATGCATATCAATAAGCTACGATCTAAAACAGCTGTTTCTTCTAATAAACAAAAGATTAATATAAAATTATGATCTTATTATTATTATTATAAGAAAGATTTCTTTTCATTATTAAAACATTGAAAATACACTGAAAATATCATTTAATTAAATTAATCTAATCAAATATTTTAAATAATGCAAAACTTTTGCCAAATACAAAGTGGTGTAAGAAAAACACATAGCCATAACACATATAAAGGAATATTGACCAATAATTAAAAAAGAAGATAATAGAGCTATTCATAAAAAATAATAGAAATAAAGTGAGAAAAAAAAAGACAATTTTTATATGATAAAATCTAAAATGAAAAGTTACATTTTGTAACAAATTTTTTGGTAACGTTTTACAACATAAAATTCTCCAATTGTGACGTAAACTAGCTGGCATTTCACCTTGTCCACTGGTTGAGACTACAAATATCACACAATATTCATTGTTCAAATTCTAAAAACAGCTAATTAAAAATTTAAAAAAAAAAGAGAGAGAGAAAAACATTTTGCATTTCATATATGAAATATAAAGAAGAACGTGAAAATATCTTTAATATTGATAGAAAGAGTGAAATAAAAAATTTTGACATTACTTCTAAAACTAAAAAGTATTGCTGCCTAATGTATACTTACATCAGAAGAATGATCCTATTGAATAATTAATTAATTTTCGATATGGAATTTTTGAATTATTTGAAAAGAAGCAAAATTTCTCTCAATGAGGTTTGTAAAAAATACTATAATTCTTGACAAAATAAATTAACTAATTTGCTGAAAGAGCTACATAAGGGAAAATCTTTTTGCAAAGAATTCCTACTGAAATAAACAAACTTTCAAACCTGCACTGCATAATCTCCAAAATTATACACTTCAGCGGGGATATTACGATATCGTGCATCATTCCATAACATTTCCGCAATATCTTGCGCATTACCTGTTTCACTACCATAAAGGATTTTCAACGTAGGAAGAGATGAGGAAAACTTTTCCATTAATCCTGAAAAAAAAAAAGATTTAAATACTGAAATTATCAAATTTTGTGAAAAGTCAAATTTAACAAACCTTGTCAACGGAGAATTTAAAAAATAAAAAAAATGAACTACTCTCTTGTCATTTTTTTTGATCAACAAAATAATGGAAATATCTATCATTTATATTTCACATTCTAACATATCCTTTTCCTTAAATTCATTCCTATTGGTTATATAATTTCTATTAGAATATTTCCTACTAAGATTAAAAATGTAATCGAATTAAATAATCAACTTTTACTCTTCAATGATAACTTTTAGAATTGAACAATTTCCGGGAAAAGTAAAAGGTTATAAACATATGACTTCTCTTCGTAGTACTTCCCTTCGTTTCCTTTATTTATTATAAAGATGACATCAGGTTTTCCGGTATTTGTGAGAATTAAACACTCATTTTAATGTATTTTATTTGGCAACATAAGTCCATTATTTTATTTTATTTATTTAACAGTTAAATTTCTTATATTCATTTGTTAATTGATCAATCTTAGTTGTTGTCAAACAATCATACATTATATTTATTCACAAACTGTTCAATTTACAATAATCAAGTAATCATAATTATTCTACAGCAAATAACAAATGCATATATTTCAAATACAAGTGTATTTTATTACAAATCTTAAATTGATGACAAATTTATATCATTTATAACAATTTTAATACCAGCTGTTACTTCTTATATCATTTATATTGATTTGTACAGTTTATTGAAGGGAAAATATAATTTAACTTTGGAGGCATTTATTTCGCTTCTTCAACAAATTCAATATTTATTGTACTTTACTAATACGAGTTAGTGAGAATGAGAATGACTACTGATTAAAAATATTGGACTAACTGCGCCAACAGCAACTGATATTAACTCGATAAGCTTTAACGATGCTCTTGATTCACTATATCCTCGACTATTACCTTCTGTGGCATTGTTCACTAATTGATAATCCTTAACGTTGGAACCAAGCTGGAACAAATTTTCTTCGACTTATCTGTTTACATTTTATGGCAGCATACATTCAATTTATGCTGTATGAAGAAAATGTAATAAAAATCATAGAGTTTTTGCTGATTAAACTAGAAAGAACCTGTCTTGATGTCGAAAAAAGAATTTTAATCAAAGATGCAAACTCAAGAAAACGAATATAATAGGAAAAATATTAACAATTTTTATCATTATTGAAATTTCATTTAACAAAAAAATTTAGAATTGTTTTATGAACTTACCAATTCTGGAAGTATATGTACAGTTGCAACGTACAGAAACGTTCCAGCCGAAAATAACATAAGTGTTCCAGTAGCCGAATCTGCTGAAGATTTGTTGCTTTCAACCTGAAATTTAAAAATACAAATGATAACGTATCGATTATTACATGTTAACTTCAAAGAAAAGTTTTGAAAACTCACAACAACAATCAGATAATATGTGACCATTGCAGCCACTGGAGCTGCAGCTGAGAAGATAATTAAATGGCGGCGTATCCTGAATCTTTCGATACCTTCCACCAGAAGAAAACTGACCAGACCGAATGCCGCTGGAGCCTTTAATGCATTTAAATATTTGAAATATGAGAGATGAAGTATTTTATTGCATAAAAAATATACAAAAGGAAATATGGAAAAGCTAATGAATGTTTTGATAAATATTCGAGGCTCAAAATCATTACGCTGAAGCAGTAGAGAGGGACAAAAGCACACTAAGCTAAATAAATGCAGATGCGGATCTTGAATTTAGACGACTTACTGGGAAGCGGAAGTCAGAAGCTTCATGAATAATAAACTATCAGGAAACAAGCTGAAAGTAACAATTCGTCTGGATGAAGGAATGGAGATTAAGTGAATTAAGATGGAAGAAAGTCGACCACAAAACGATAAACTCATTAGATGCAATATTAGAAAGGAAAAAACCATGTTCAACATATGGAAGCGCTTTGATAAAAGCGGCAGAAGTGCAGTGATGATCAAACTAGCCCATTAAATCACGGATTAAAGCTTAACTTCATCAAATAATTTTGTTAATAGAGAGAATGATAAAAATCAACCTTATGAAGCATTATAGCAAGAAAAACAATAAACTGTACACCGGCGCGATTTGTTGCAGATGCGCTGCCAAAAGCGACCCCATCAGCTGCAAATATTACTAATAAAAATAAAATTTTAATTTTAAAAAGCCATTCAAAAAATTTTTATTATAATTTCAACAAGTACAACTTTCAGAAATTCTAATTTACCACATGCAATTAAATCTTCAGCCGAAACAACATTTCCAAGTTCGATTTTAGATTAACTATATGAACTAATTACAATCAAATTTGCAAAATAAATCAGAACTAAAGCAATCTGTGATAAAAACTTTTCAATAACAAACCAGCTGCATGTACGACCAAACCAATTGTTGCCGTTAATTTAAAATGTGTACGGTCACCATCTGAAATTCATTTTGAAACATGCATAATAATTATCAAAAAAGATGATAAATATTTCGAGATTTGATCGATAAGAAAAGTAAGAAAAAAACCAGCCAATGATAAATATTTCGATAATACTTTTCATTGACAAATACCTTTCGATGATAAATATTTCGAAATTTGGTCGATAAGAAACATAAATAAGAAACCAAAAACTAGTGAATATCCTATTGATTGATTTATTGCATCGAAATTAACCGATGCTTCGGAATGCCTATGCTCATCGGTTTCTGTAAAAAATTAATCTTTTTTTCTTTAATTAGTAAAATCTTCCTTAACAGATTATCTAAAATACATTATAGTTAAATTAGCATCAATTCTACCAAAATTTGCTAATCAATCAATGCCACATGCCTCATGGCATAACTGAATGTATCGGAAATAGACTCTGTTAATTTATATAAATTGTCGGATGGAATGAGAGAACACAAAAATGAGATTAAATTGCGTTGATTTCCTTTATTTATCTTTCATCAGCTATCGGTAAATCAGTACCACTTCATAAAACACCTGGATTTTAACTTCTTGTATAAAAAAATACCTTTCTTGCTCATAACAGAATTTTGCTGCATTTGTCCTACCATTTCTTTTCCAACAGCACTGTTGCCAAAATTAGTTGGATAAATTATTTTCCCACTGAATTAGAATATAAAATTATTAATTTAAGTAATTATACTAATTTTGAACTAATAATAATAATAGTATTTTGTATTTTATTAATAATAGTATTTTATTAATAAAAATAAAATATTTCGTTTTGAAATTCTGGTTAATTCACCAAACTACTAGTAATAAGCTTTTAAAAATGATCCAAAAGATAGATGAAAATGACTCGAATTTTGTTCTTAAATTTTTTTCGGTCATATCGACTGATTTCATCTGCTAATCCATATAAACAATTTTTTGGGTAGTAGGACATATATATATTTATTTATTTATTTAAATCATGAAAATATAAATATACAGAAACATACCCTAGATTTGATGCAACGGGTTGTGTTAATGAATTCGATATAATTTGGTTCCTATCGTCACTCTGCACAGCTCCCGGCAAATACTTTTCTGAAATCAAGAGAGTTTTTTATCAATTCATTTCAAGTGATATAAATATGTTTGAGCTTGTTCTTTTCTAGTATCCTTTTGACGATACTTTTGTTCAACTAGACGTTATCATAAAAATCAAATTAAACATCAAGAAAACTTCCCACATATTTCATCATTATCCAACGTCTCATAACGAGTTTTCTAAAATAACTTTTCGAAAAAATTATAATTTCATTAAACTAAAATATGAAATGTTTTATGTTAAAATTTTCGACATTTTGCAAAACAAACAAATCTCAAAATTGTTATCTAGGAAAAAAATAATCTTGAAAAGAGAGGGACAGAAAAAGAAGAAGAAAAAAGAGAAGTAAAGTACCAGTATGAACAATGTAGAGTGCTTCAACACCTTCTGGAACAATTACAGATAAAGCTGTGCCAACCAATAATCCTGCTCCAAATGTGCTCAATAAACGTGTTCGTCTCTGAAAAAACTTGCTTCAGTAAAAAATTTTTGCTAGCTAAATTGTAATTTGTTTTTTCTTCAATATTTCATGATAAACTGTCACAGCGATTGCAATGGCAAATCTTTTTCGTGTATACTTAATCTACGTAAAGGGGATGTTATGATTAAATTTAATCATAAACAATTTTAAAAAAAATTAAAAAAGAAATTACTCTTAGAGTTAATGTACCTCGGACATGTTGAATGCAAGAGGTATCAATCCAGCTACAAAACTTCCAATAAACATTGCAACCGACAAATATAATAACAAGTAAAAATTATCCATAATTCGCTTATGAAAAAATTGCTTTGAAATTTAGATGACCACTGTTTGTGCTGAAACGTCTTTCTAATCAAACAAAAATAGAATAATTTTAAAATAGAATGGTATTTATTGCCTAAACAAAGTCATGAATTTCGGATGAAATCCTAATAACATCGAATTTTTCCGAATAATTACACGGATTGTTTCGAGCGTTTTTGAAAATGTTTGGCTGACAAAATCTAATGTCAAAATTATACAAAATTTAAGTCCGTAGAATATATTTTCAACGATTGAATTCCATTTGGATAAATAAATAAATTTGCTAATTTCTTGCTGATGGAAATATTGCTATGCTAGCTTTATTGTTAATAAGATACAACTAAAAAAGTATTTGTTCTAACTTGCTTGCTTTTAAAAAATTAACTCATAAGAAAATGAATATCTTCTATGAATATATATATAAACATATTGACATTGTAATCATCTTTGAAAAAAAACAAATGTTTTCACAATTTGATTCAAAATTTTTGCAAATAATTTCTCTGTTGTTTTTAAAGCTTACAAAAAATGAAATGCAACCTCTATTGCATTGCTTTCTTACACTTCTTTGCATATGCAATGTTATTTTTATCATTACATCAATTTTTGCTAAATTTTTTTAATTATTAGAAGCCAAAATGTAAAA